CAACATGGCCATGATACCTCCGAAGACAGCAAAAGCCGTTAATTGACGTTCTCAAGGCGGTGGCAACGTTACCTTGACTTGACGATCGTCCTAGACCTGCACCACCACGTCGATAACCATCCCAACCGCCGCGCCTTGCAAGCACCTTCCACGAGCGTCGGGCCGGCCAAACGACCTGTCTCTGAAATCAGACATCTCAGCACCAGGAGGCGACATTCTGTCGACATATCTCGGCGACGAGCTATGCCATCTTGAGCGGCACGTCCATGGCAACGCCGTACATTGCCGGCGTGGCGGCTCTGTACGTCGGCCAGTTTGGCGGTCGCGCCAATCGCGACAAGAGCTGGGCTAAGAAGCTCGCCATGCGCATCATTTCCTCGGGCGAGCCCATCGCTTGGGACGACCCTTACACGACCGGCGCCGTCTTAGACGCCCTCGCCCCCGTTGCGCAGGTGGGCACCGGTCTCGTCAACGCCTCGAAGGTGCTGGGCCAGGACACGAGCCTGTCGTTCACCAGGTTTGCCCTGAACGACACACGACACTTCAGCCGCTACCAAAAGGTGGACATCACCAACACCGGGACAAGGCCCGTCACGTACACGTTCTCACAACAGGACTACGGCGGTCTAGCCGCCGTCGACACAGCGTCGCCGGCGCGCATAGCCGACGCCAGCGAGCTACTCGCAAACCCGCTCAAGCTGAGCCCGCGGGTCACATTCCCCGGGGCCGGTTTCACCGTCAATCCCGGACAGACGCGCACGGCGCAGTTCAACTTCTCGCCGCTGGCTGAGGGCGCCGCGGCCGCGCCCGAGGCGCTCCCCGTGTACAGCGGCCGGATCGTCATCAAAGGCAGCAACGGCGACGAGCTGTGCGTGCCGTACCTCGGCCTCGCAGCGGACCTCAAGCGCGACGTGGGCGTCATGTTCGAGCGCATGGCCGGCGTGCCGCTCATCGTCTCGGGCGCCGCCAACGTCAGCATCGAGACCAAGGCCAACTTTACCTTCAGCCAGGACGCCGCGCGCCCGGATTTCCCGCGCCTTTCGATGCGGAGCTTCTTCGGCACGCGCGAGCTGCGCTGGGACGTCTTCGAGGCGTCGTGGCGCGAGCGGCAGTGGGCATACCCGCCGCGTGAGGGCCAGGCAGGCTTCGTCGGGTCCGTGGCGGCGTGGTCGTTTGTCGGCGATGATTTCATGTTTGAGCCAGATTTCGACGACATATGGGAGATTTTCAGATTTCCCCTGGTCAATGCGCCGCGGACCATGTCGAACATACTGCCGTCCGAATTTTCGTGGTTCGGCGAGCTGGGCAACGGGACGCAGATCGCGCCGGGGCGGTATCGCATGCGGGTGGCCTCGTTGCGGCCGTTTGGCAACCGCGCGGCGGCGGACAATTGGGATGTGTTTGAGACGCCGGAGATTGAAGTGCTGCCGCTGAGCAAATGAGACTGCTTGGTGTTATAGTCAGTCATTATGCGGTGTTCGCGATTTCAGCTGAGCTAGTCGGCGATTCGAGTCTCTCCATGAACATTGATCGAGAATTGACCAGTGTCAGGGACTTGTTCCGAGAAAGTGGCCTTGGGATTGCTTAATAAAAGAACTCCGCAGTGAAATGCTCTGTTCTTGCAGATGAATTTCTGGGAGATGATCATGGTCTCCGGCCTGGCTCGAGGCACACTACAGGGCATGAGCCACTGATGAATGCCAGGAAATACCAGCACCATCTTTCCAGTAGCTTTACTTGCAGACAAAAGTGCTTTCATGCGCTTGAGGATCCTTCAACACTACTCTAGGTTCTGTTTGTTCGCAGAGGCACTACGCTTCCCCATCTACCCAGACGACAATATTCTTAGGCGGATCCCGCAGCCCCTTGAAAAAGGCCGACACCTGCTCGTCGCTGTACCGCATGCTGAAATGCATAATGATGAACGTCGTCTTGGGCCACCTGCGCACGACGGCCTCGAGATCGGGCCAGTATGTGTGCTTCGTCTTCTCGGCCTGGGCCTTGTGCTCCTCGTACAAGAAGCTGCACTCGGTGATGACGACGGGGATGCCGTCCCGCAGCCACGGCGGCTCCGCGGCCAGCACGGAGGCCGTCGTGTCGCCGAGGAAGGCAAAGACGGGGCTCGTGTGCGGGGCCGTGATGTCGACGCCCGAGGTGCGCAGGGCCTTGATCTCCTGGCCCGCGAGGGACGTGTACTCGGGCTTGAGGCGGTGGGTCGTCGTGCTGAAGACGTAGCCGACGCAGGGGACGTTGTGGTCGCACCGGAAGACGGAGGCGCTCATGCCCTTGAGGCGGCGCAGGGGGATCTCGTCGCCAGGGACGACGGGGTGCGTGACGTGCGTGCCGAGAAAGGCCCGCTGCGAGGGCGTCCGGCCGTCGTCGTCCACGTCGGGGGCGTCCTTGTCGACGGGCAGACCGCGGGCCTCAGCCTCGTCGTACTGGATGTGGCCGCCACGGTTCATCATGGTCTTGGCGAGGATGTAGTCGTCGAAGAACTTCTTCATCTCGACGGGGCAGTAGATGTCTGGCGGGTCTTCGCGTTTGACAAAGGCGGGCGAGAGGAGCACGTGGTCGCTGTGGCCGTGGGTCAGGAAGATGTGTTTGGGGCGCTCCTTGTTGACGACAAGACCGGCGTCGAGTAGGAGATTGAGCTGTGGGATGACGAAGGACGTGTGCCACGCGGCTCGTGACTTTCCCGTCAGGACATATTGATGGTAGGGCTTGGGGAAGCGCCACTCGAGGACCTCGGATCGATTTGACTGGGGCAAGGGCGTCGCAAAGGCAGGCGACGGCTGGGCCATGGCGATATGGCCCTAGAGTGCTTGACGAGTAGGCCCTGACGTGGATCTCTTATTCAATGTTTGTATGAGAGTCCCGGTTCCTGGGTGTTGAGAGTTGAGGCCTGGTTGCGTCAGTTGTGGTTGCTGGGAACAGGCAAAGCTTGAGAGGCACCGTCAAGCAGTTGGCCACGGACCCCTGCATATTCCCCAATACGGACTCACAGGATGTAGAGGCTCAGTGTGTGCGTCAGCCTGATGAAGCCGAAGCGATACCGCCCCCCGTTGAGATGTAGAAGCGCGGCATCGTGATGGTGTTGCGGCATTCAAAAATCGCGACTCACTCGATACTGGAGGCTCCGGGACCCACATGGCCTGCTGATGTCATCACTTCCGACGCTCCACACTGACGGCCCTGAAGCCACTAAAATCGTGGTGTCTGGCCCTTATCGAGAGTGCCCAAGGGAGCCCCGAGATCTGCTTCAGGGGCAGAATAGCGTCCGGCCACAAGCCTTGGTGGGCGCTGTAATGATCTTCCAGTGGACGTCATAGGGGTCACACGCATCCAGTAAGCTCCTTCTTAGCACGCATGGTGCATGGATGCCCGGTCTAGCCAGGCCCCGGCTGGGGATCAATGCTACCGGCAGGGTCAGCAAGGCCCTGAGCCCCCTGAACCACACCGCTGTATTCACGGCGATGTACCAGTATTATTCGAGGGCCTCGGCCTTCCACGAGTCCCTTGCCCACATCTCGCCGCTCATCACCAGAACATCATGTAATACATCGTTTATCCTCACCATCTGCCAATACTTCTGTGTCCATAAATGCACGACACTGCAATATAATGCAGCCGAGAAGATTTCACCCGTCTTCTGAGAGACTACTACGAGTTCGCCAATCGCCTCTTCGAGGACACCACCATAGCCTACATCCTCTCAGACAGCTGGACCTCTAGCAACCAAAAAACGCTGAGCGGTTTCGAACGGACTGAAACAGTCATCGACGTCCTGCAGCATCTGCCTCACCTAAGCTCGCCGCAAATTACGAAGTACTCTTAGACTTTTGCGAAACTGCTCGCAGCTCGCCGTATCTAGATCAAGGGGACTTGAAATTTTGTTAGGAGTGATAACGAGCAGTCTGATTTTGGCCGAGGCTTGCAGCTTTCTTTTGACTTGTATACCTAGCTAGATGGATGCTTAGCTGGAGGTGACGTTGATGTCTTTTCACTGCCCTTGGCTGCTATACTGTCGTGATGGCTAGATGACATTTCATAAAACTAACATTTCTCCTGGCACGGAAAGCTTTTTATTGTTGTCCTCTCAATGGCTGCTTGCATGCCTGGTTCAAGACGCCGTGACGCGTTTCTACCACTGTGAGGTCCCGTAGAGACTGAGCTCATACACAGTCAATCCATTGTGTTGTCTTCTGTCTTATTCAAATATGCCAAGTGCGTCAGACATTGACATTTCAATACCTTAGTCCAATAGCTGAAAAAGATTGTGTGACGACCGCTATGGTTTAAGCCTCGACGTTGAAGTATTCAAAACATATTTTGGTCATCCCGAATCCAAACACTTCGTGTATTTGAGACACTGGATTTTTTCTTCTTCTTCTCTCCTCTCCCCCGACATCCATGCTTAACTTATTCGGCATCATGACTTGCAGGACCTTGCACTAGCGTCGGATCGCCGCAGAAGATTCGGAAATGATATCACAACGGAGAACCCATCCGCCGAGGAGTTGTGCTCGACCACCTGTGCCATCCCACGCCACTTCAAGCGCAGTCCGCCATCCGATGACCACAAGAAATCGCAAATCCCAAGCCAGGTCGCGAGCGTCGTTGAACCTGACGTGACGACACATCCATAAATCCCGACAGACTGTTCTTATCCCCCCGCATCCGATCCCGGCAGCTTATCATCTGGCCACGAGCTCATGCAAGCCATGCCTGTTCTACTCCCCATCGGGACTGATGCGGGGGAAGCTCCAGCGCCAGCCCGTTCTCTTATCGACGGCTGATCGCCCAGACCAATGACTACCACAATCGTCTTAGCTTACGACTACGACGGTCATTGGGGAACGTCGCATCCTAAAGGGTGTGAGGCGTCTTATCGCCTTTGTGTTTGGTTGGACTTATCTCGGAGGTTGAGAGGTCAGGTTACACATGGCTACAGCACCCCGCGCTTGGTCACGACGGTTGCGACTCAGGCCATGGTCAGTCTCAAGTATAAACGTCGGCCCTCTCGCGAGCCTTCAACCATTCCCCAAGTCCGCAGTATCTTTACCAACTCAACCTTTGTAACTCGTCTGTCTCCTACGCATCAGCCATGCCTGCAGCAGTGAACGGCACACTGCCGCACCCTCTCGATCCCCTCACTTCGGCTGAGATCGAGCAAGCCATCGCCGCCGTCCAAAAGGCACACGGCGAATTGTTCTACAATGTCGTCTCACTCCATGAGCCCCGAAAGGCCGAGATGACCGCCTGGCTAGCCGACCCTGCCAGCGCCCCTCGGCCTGCGAGGATCGCCGACGTCGTCGTCATCGCCAAGGGCGGCAAGGTCTACGAGGGTTTCGTGGACCTGGTCGAAGACAAGATCACTCACTGGGATCTCCTCGACGGCGTGCAGCCAATCGTAAGTAGCTGCAGCTCCCGCGATGCCCACGCGCAAGCTGACTGGTCAGATCACAATGGAAGAGCTCGTAGCCGTTGAGCACATCTGTCGCAAGGACCCCAAGGTCATTGAGCAGTGCGAGATCTCCGGCATCCCCAAGGAAGAGATGCACAAGGTGTACTGCGACCCCTGGACCATCGGTTACGATGAGCGTCACGGCAACGTCGTGCGCCTGCAGCAGGCCCTCATGTACTACCGCCCTGACGTCGACACGTGCCAGTACCAGTATCCTCTCGACTTCTGCCCCATCTACGATGCCGACAAGCAAGAGATTGTCGATATCGACATCCCCAAGATCCGTCGGCCTATTAGCAAGACGAAGCCTGTCGACTACCATCCCGCTGCTATTGAGAAGAATGGCGGGTACCGGAATGATATCAAGCCCATCAATATCACACAACCAGAGGGCGTGTCGTTCAAGATCGAGGGCAGGGAGCTGGAGTGGCAGAACTGGAAGTTCCACATTGGCTTCAACTACAGGGAGGGTATTGTGCTCAATAACATCACCTACAACGACAAGGGCAATGTGAGACCTATCTTTTACCGACTTTCGCTCGCCGAGATGGTCGTCCCCTACGGCAACCCGGAGCATCCCCATCAAAGAAAGCACGCTTTTGATCTCGGCGAGTACGGCGCGGGCTACATGACGAATGCGTTGACACTGGGCTGCGACTGCAAGGGGTCTATCCATTACCTCGATGCCGAGTTTCCCACGCGTGCTGGCGGTGTCCGTACGATCAAGAACGCTATTTGCATCCATGAAGAGGATAGTGGAATTTTGTTCAAGCACAGTGATTTCCGTGATGACTCGGTCATCGTGACCCGGGCGCGGAAGCTCATTGTGCAGCAGATCTTCACTGCCGCTAACTATGAGTATGCAATTCAGTGGATTTTCCATGCAAGTCACACCCGAGCTTCTCTCACTCTGTTTTGAGGTAACTAACAGCCACGCCAGCAAGACGGTACCATCCAGCCGGAGATCAAGCTCACAGGCATTCTCAACACATATGCCATGAACGAGGGCGAAGATACTAAGGGCTGGGGCACCCAGGTGTTCCCTGGCGTCAACGCCCACAACCACCAGCACCTATTCTGCCTGCGCGTCGATCCCAATATTGACGGTCCGCGCAACACAGTCTTCCAGGTCGACACGGTGGCTTCTGACGCCCCCGTTGGCAGTCCTGAGAACTTCTATGGTAATGCCTTTGGGGCCCGTCGCACCAAGCTTGACACCACAGGCAATTCGAAGACGGACTACAATGGTGCGACATCACGCACGTGGGAGATGGCCAACACAAGCAAGCTGCACCCTTACAGTGGAAAGCCTGCCAGCTACAAGCTGGTTAGCCGCGAGGTGCCGGGACTGCTGCCCAAAGAGGGCTCCCTTGTTTGGAAGCGTGCAGGCTTCGCCCGCCACGCGGTGCACGTCACAAAATGTAAGCTTCCCATCCCACCTTGCTACCTTACGAATGACCATGTTGTATGGATCACCTACTAACGGTTCAGACCGCGACGATCAACTGTGGCCCGCAGGCCGCCATGTGCCACAGACTTCAGGCGAACCGTCGCGTGGCATTCCCGAATGGATCGGCGACGGTACCGAATCCATCGAGGACGAGGACGTCGTACTCTGGCACACGTTCGGTGTGACCCATATCCCAGCGCCCGAGGACTTCCCTGTCATGCCAGTCGAGCCGATCACGCTACTGCTGCGGCCGCGCAACTTCTTCCGGAACAATCCCGTTCTCGACGTGCCACCGAGCTATGCAAGCACGCCGTCGCAAGTTGCTGCGGGCAAGGGAGCCCTCGACGCGGCGGACAAGGAGAGTACGCTTGCGTTCAGAGAGTGCTGCTCGAATGGGACCAATGGACAAGCAAATGGTACTAATGGACATGCGAACGGGACCAATGGGTCGTCTTGAGCGGAGGTAAGAATGTAGGATTACCGATGTCTGAAAGTAGTATCCATTTCAGGAGGCCTGCCGCCCTTCGAATTCAGGTTTTATACTCGTTTGCTCATCCTTTGCCTGCTAGCCTGACATGATGCTTCAACCCGATAACGTGCGCTGAACTTGATCACTCTTGACCGTCGCCAAGGAAATTTAAGAACCCTGATAGTCGGGTTACAGTAGCAAAAGTTCTGGGCGTATGTCTTGGGGTGTCCCCTAGCGGCCCTAAGTCTGTCGCCAAGGCCACGAGCGGCACCTGTGGATTCTTAGGGAGGGTTACTTCTAGTATGTGGGTTCGAGCAATGAGAGCCGCGTTCCCACGATGCCAGTGAAAAGCAGCTGAGCGCACTTGGCAATCCTTCGTTCGTCTTGGTATGAGTCGCCTCCACTCATGACGAAAGATTGGTTCCAAGCTTCAGATTTAGGCGTTGAGGAGTCCGGACTTAAATATCTTCATCAATTTTCAGCTCCGGGTCTCTTTCCAACAATTTCTGCATACTATCGCTCAATCATCGTGAAAACCAGAAATCGAACAGCATGCCCAATAAATCACGTTTTGCTTTCGCGGCTGCATTCTTCCTGTCTGGTCAGCCTTATGCGACCGCCCAGAGGAACGAGAGCCTTGAAAACTGCCCTCTCCCCATCCGTCACCTCGCAGACGACCGCAGCTGGAATGCCACTGGCACGATTGCTATTCCACCGCTTGAGAATGGAGATGAAGATTGGTTCGTCTCTGCGACCCTGACCGACATCCGCAGAGCCAATGTTTACTTCGACGGGTGGCCCACAGCTCAAGACCTGGCCGTCTTCCTCAGCGTGCCCCAGAGCTTTGTTGGCAGCGAGACTGGCAATGCGACGCGCGTGTGCGGATACACCATGCCTGGGCAGAATGCGACGGCCACGGGCGACGCGTCGAGTGAGGACTCATGCAGCAGCGTACTGCCAGAAGAGTGTATCGAAGAAGCTTTGAAGACGCCGATGACACCCTCCGATGTGCCCTGTCCTGAGCTCGACCTCGGGGACAAATGTGACGTTTCCACTGGCTTCCGCACCTGTACGTGCCCCCGTGCCTCTTGTTCGCGTTCTTCGCTCGAATACTGACCCGGAAAGTCAACCCTGTCCAACTCAGCCCCTCCGTTTGCGTTTTGGACAGTCTACCACACACTGATGTTCCCAACGGATACCGCTCCTTTGCTGGCTTCCCCGGCTGGCGCATCATGCCTCCGGACGAGGAGGAGAACGAGTTCGATGTATACGACCTGCGGGTACAGCAAACTGTGCCCGTGCTTTTCACGGTGCAGTCTGGATCACAGCAAAAGGTGCACCTTGTCTGCGTTGCGCCGAACAAAGTGGTGGAGGGGAGCCGGGAGCCGCAGGCAGAGTTCCCGCCTTCGGATGCGGGGGTAGTACGGAGCGGGTCCGGTTTAGCCTTCGCTGCGGCGGTGATGGCTGTAGCGATGCAGTTATAAGTTACATCACTTGCTTACGGGTAATCAATGCCATTGAGCATCGCAAAGTCCCGTAGTTTACGGCTCGTAGTATTATATGATCAATGTGGAGTACAGAGGCCGATACCTGTCATCTCAACCCATCGGAAATGTAGTCAACCCCAAACCATAGAACAACTCCATCATCGTGTTCATCCGAGATTGAATAACTACCTCAGCCCTTTTTCTGCGACTCACCAAAATACTTGACCAGCTTGAGTTGACAGAAAGAAGGTCTGCTGACGAGGTCCTATTCTGCAGTGGATGTGTTATTCCGACTACTCGCCGTTCTAAAGAGTACCTTGGGGCTGATTCTCGGGTTTTTTATCAGGGACCTGGTGTCCTTGATCGGAGTTTGGCTTCTGGTTCTTGGGCTTCTCGGCCTCCTTTGTCTTTGGGCCATTCTTGGTCTCCGTTCTCTTCGGTCCCTCATCCTTCTTAGGGGCGGGTGTCTTCGAGGGACCGTCCCTTCTTAGGGTGCTCAGGCCTTTTGGGGTGCTCCGCCTTCTTGGGATGTTCTGGCTTCTTTGGGTGTTTAGGGTGTTCTGGCTTTTTGGGGTGCTCCGCCTTCTTGGGGTGTTCCGCCTTCTTAGGATGTTCTGGCTTCTTGGGGTGTTCCGCCTTCTTGGGATGTTCTGGCTTCTTCGGATGTTTAGGGTGTTCTGGCTTCTTCGGGTGCTTGGGGTGTTCTGGTTTATTCGGGTGCTCCGGCTTTTTGGGATGCGCCGGTTTCTTCGGGGGCGAGGCCTTGTTATGATGCTTGGGCTTCTCGGGTTGTTTCGGCTCTCCATGGTGCTTTGTCTTGGGCTTATCGTGGTGCTTGGACTTGCCAGGATTTTTGCGATCCTTTGGGTGCTTCTTCTTCGGCTTGTCGTGGTGGCCCTTAGACTTATGTTTATCGCCGTTCGTCTGTTCGTGCTTCTTCAGGCCCTTCTTCTTGTCTTGCTTCCCGGGCTTTTCGTGTTCTTCTTGAGGAGGGTTTCGCGCCGCAGGTTGAATGACCGATTCGGGTACATCGCTGACCCCCATCTTCGTCACATCCTTGCCCTTCATTTCTTTGCCTTCTCCTTTCTTCGATTTCTTCTCCTTGATCGTCTCTTTTACCTGCTCCACAGGAACTGGCACCATGGCGCTGTACTTCTTGGCTGAGCGGCACATGCCAAGACAGTCGGTGGTAGTCGTACATCCTGCAGAAATCGGGACGCAGACCCAACCCTTGCCGCAGTCAGGCTTGGCGAGAGTTCGACAGAACTGCTGCTTCGGCATGGCGAGTTCCGTAGGCAGGACGAGGGCAGCGCCCGTGAGAAGGGCTCCGAGCTTCATGGTTGTCAAATGTAATGATGAACAAGGGTATGAGGATGGTCTTGATAGCACCACAAGATGTGAAGTTGCAATGAGGGTTTCTTGGGTAGCAGGGAGCCACCATCTTATGTAGATGAGAATCAATCCCCGTGATCGGAAGCGGCCTTTCAGTAGGTTCGTGACACGGAGTGTAGTGGAAAGTAGTTTCTCTTTTCTGAAGCCTGCTCTTAACCTTACCAAGCCTGAATGTCACAAGTCCAAGATCTCTGCACAAATGGCTGAACAGAATTCGACAACCTCATCCGTTATGGCCGTGATCCGAAGCGGCCACTTTTCAAGTGGCGCAACATCTCAATGAGGATGTCACCGGTTCTATCCGAAACGTTAAATGCCTTAGACATTCACCGCGCTTCAGCATAGACTTACTCCAGCATGATATTTTTTTTGCATGTGAGTGAGGATATTAGACGTGGCCCGTGGCTGCAAGGCACGCCCTCTTCGGAAGGCAATCAAGGTTCGGTGAGGTGCCTTCGAATTTCCACCTGCTGCACATACATTTTAAAGGTCGTTGACAGTAAATGGTGCCCGACATGATCTATACCGCAGCTTCCAGCATTCGCGCTTAAACATAGCTTGACAGGACAACAACACGGTGGGCAAATCTCTTTGGTTTCACTGCCTGTAATAGGAGATGGCTATCCTACCAAGAAGGTAGATTCAGCAACCCTGTTGGGTTTTCGACGTTGCAGCGGATGGCAACAGATCTCAAACCTTCGACGCCTTACGAGCCGTAAGTTCAGCATGTGTGGACACTGAAGTTCGACCGTGCTCGCAAATAATTCATATGTGGCGACATGGTACCTTGAGCATTGGATCAGTGTCTAGCGAGCCCCGGCAAATGGAGTATTTTGCTGATGTCATCGGAAGAAAGACATGAGGATGTCCTTGGACACGAAGTTTACTATCGAGAGGATGAGCAAGCCCGAGTCGCCAGCCTCGGCAGGCTTGTGAACAGTCGACGATGCGACTCATCAGCTGAAGATATCGTCACCTGCATAAGACGACCATCCCTCAAACCCAGCCCTCAGCGCCCTAAGCACAGATGCCGAGGATGCCACAAAATGCCACCACACTTTCAGGGCCCAGAGGTCTCAGTACTTATTCATCCCGTAGACCGTCTCCGCCCGGCCGATCACAGCAGCGCCGACCCCGCACCCGGCCGAACGAATGAGCGCCATCCCCGCCCCCACGTGAATGTCCGATTCCGAGGCCCCACGCCGGTCGCCTCTTCTGGGTAACCTCACATGCAAACTCGCTCAAACTGGCGTCATATATCGGGCGAAAGCCCACCGTGGAACAAGTTGCGATCGTCGCGACGCCTGTTGCTTGTTTCCTGTTCCCCGCCGTGGTACTTTGACACAGTCGGTAGCCTGCATGTCGGCTCGCCGAGATGGGTGAAAGCCATGATGATCTTGGCTACAATTCGTTCGGATGAACTGGGAGTGAGCCACGTGCGTGAACGGACACGATCGCCAGGGACACCTCAACGCACGCCAAGGCCCAGGTCGTCGAAATGACACCTCAGACTCTCAACAGAGCGGCAAAACATAAGTACCGCAGCCGCCATGCGATCTCACATTATCGAAACTTGCTCAAGAGCACCGGCCGGCCGCAATCCACAGCAGCAATGAAGGCAACAGTCCTCCTGGCATCCGGCCTCCCGGCCTCGCAGCCTCGAAAATTATAGACTTCACCCCGCGCCTCATCTCCTACAACATCCGCTGGGCCGTTCCCACCGTCCTCCCCCCGGAACCCGCCTGGTCCGACCGCCTGCCCTCCCTGGCATCCCAGCTCTTCCACGAGACCGCCGGCCGCCCGACGTCCCTCATCTGCCTGCAGGAAGTCCTCGCGACGCAGCTCGCCGACATCAAATCCGCCCTCGGCACCCCGACCTGGTCCTCCGTCGGCGTCGGCCGCGACGACGGCGCCGAGGGCGGCGAGTTCTCGCCGATCCTTTTCCGACCCGACGCCTACGAGCTCCTCAACAGCTCGACGCGCTGGCTGTCGCCGACGCCCGAAGAGCCGGGCAGCAAGGGGTGGGACGCGGCGCTGCCGCGCGTCGTGACGACGGCGACGCTGCGGGACCGCCGGAGCGGCGCACCGCTGACGTACATGTGCACGCACTTTGACCACATTGGCCAGACGGCGCGCGTCGAGTCGGCGAGGCTGCTCGTGCGGTTCGCGGCGGAGGCTGCGGTTGTGGTGGATGGCGAGGAGACGCCTGTTTTCCTGGGTGGCGACTTGAACATCACGCCCGAGAACCCTGCATATTTGGAAATGGTTGCTGAGGGGAACTATCACGATGCGAAGGATGTTGTGGATCCGAGACGAATCCATGGACATCTCAACACTTTCGCAGGGTTTTCGGATGACCGAAGTGGTTGGTCGCGCATTGATCATGTGTTTGTCTGGAGGCCTGAAGTCCAGGGCATGGCGCTTCTCAACTACGGCGTCTTGGAGAACAAGTTTGATGACAACCTTTGGATATCGGATCATCGTCCCGTCATTGTCGATGTCAACTTTGCAATCAACAAAACGTGTGTGGAACGCAGCTAGTCAAATGGACAGAGCAATGACTATCAAGAGTCTATCATGTCTTGTCTACAAATATCATGACATTGTATCCTTCAAATCACATCCCTCTAGTACTTGCCCGTGATGGTGATCTCAGGCGCCTGGAAAACGTCCCAGTTGTCCGAGGCCTCGGGGTTTCCGAACGGCTTCAGCGTAGCGAAGCGGATGTGATACTTGCCCTCGGCGATCTGGCTTCCGTTACCCAGCCTACCGAACCAGTAGTAGCGGAAGAACTGTGCGGTGTTCTCCGCGTTGCGGTAGATGTCGGTGACGGGGAAGGTGAAGGTCTGGTTGGGGTTGTGGAAGACAGGGTTGAAGACTTCAACCGAGGCAGCACCAGCCCAAGCCGCGGCGGGCCCGATGTAGCCGTTCTGGCCCTCAACAGGGGGGTACTTCCAGTTGCGTTCCCTCCAGCCAGCCTCGTAGATCTGTACAAGGTGG